GACCAGCCTGACCAACATGGTGAAACCCCATCTCTACAAAAAAATACAAAAATTAGCTAGGCATGGTGGTTGCATGCCTGTAATCCCAGCTACTCAGGAGGCTGAGGCAGGAGAATCACTTGAACCCTTGAACTCAGGAGGCAGAGGTTGTAATGAGCCGAAATCATGCCACTACACTCCAGCCTGGGCAACAGAGTGAGACTCTGTCTCAAAAAAAAAATTATTTTAATTTAATTTTTAAAAATACATGTATATATATATACATGAAGGGCTTAAGGGTGAGTAATGTTTGATTCATTCTTACATTTCTGTAACTTAATATCTGATATTAATAGACTTTAATAATTTGTTTGATAGCACTGTATATTACATTTTGGGGAAATATAGATATTGTTTTAAGTAATTATTTAATTGCATTAAGCATGTATTCATGCTCACTTTGTAGTAGTATCCTAGAACTACAGTATTTGTGATGCCTTACCACTATTATGAAATTAAACATATGCTAAAAATAAGAAATAAATGTCATGTCATTATCAGGTCTTATTGCCATATACCTCACAAAGATCCAGTCAAAGGATTGCATTTGAATCTGGATTTCTATATTCATTTGAAATGTCTTATTAACAAGTGTACACTCATACTCATCATAAGACTTCTTGGAATAACATGCTAATTACTTTCCGGCACTCTGGTTCCCAAACCACAATGAATCCTATTATAAAAGCAAATCACTACAAACTTCAAACAGCATGCATCCTTGAGATGCCACTATTAAAGGAAGCACCGTGATGGGAAATCTTTGATGTTATCAGATATGATGGAAACTACACATTTGTATTTGCGTAAGTCCTGTGGACCAAAGCTTTGCCCCTATCTTTAAATAACCTGAAACCAATTTCAAGTTCCCAAAAGCTCTTCAAAGCAACCCACCTTAGCAGTAATGCTGATGGCATTTCAAATTCAAGGTAGTTTGCTTTTTCCATCTCCAGACTTCAAGCAGATCTGAAATTATAGGTTCAAAGAGAAAAGATATTATCTACTTTTACCCAAACCATTAGGCTCTGGTTTGATGAACAAACTATCAGAGGTAATAAACTTACCTATGGTTATGAAAACATGGCATGTAACCACGTAGCTCAGAGTCTGAATAATGCAACTGCTTCTAGGGAATTCTGACTCATAAGTATTTAGATACTTCATGCTTCAGTTCTTTCTTTTTCTTGTGTTGTTGACCAAAAGTTGAAATGTAAACTTTGGGCCATGGTAACACAACAACTGTATACAACTCACCTCCTCCTGAATGGGACATCTGTGAAGCTGAATACAAAAATCAGTGTGTGCTTGACTCCGGTGCCCACAGGGAGCCTGAGCCACACAATTCAGAACATTCAGACTATGAATAACTCCTGTAGCAGCAGGGTTGGTCTGTGGCTTTTTAAAAGGCTTCAGATTTGTGGTCGGTAGAACCATCCTTGAACCTATTTGAGCTAAAGGATACAGTGGACCTACTGAATTCCTCCAGCATTTAATTAGGCTTCCTGTAATTGCTTTAAATAAAAGTGGGGGAGAATGAGACCTGAAGTTACCTTCTTGGGACACCAGATATTTAAATGTGGTTTTAATATCCTGAGCGTAGTTGATGCTGCTCTGCATCTTATAAAGAGCCATTATAGTTCTAAGGAAACACATTGTAAATTTATCAGCCCTTTGGTGACAGTAAGTTACTGCAGTAATCTTAAAGGAAGAGGTTTATTTCCAGTAACTGAATTTCTCCATGAAGACGGAATGTATAAATAAATAAAGCAGGCTGGGCGCGGTGGCTTATGCTTGTAATCTCAGCCCTTGGGAGGCCAAGGAGGGTGGATCATTTGAGGTCAGGAGTTCGAGGCCAGCCTGGCCAACCTGGTGAAACCCCATCTATACATAAAATACAAAAGTAGCCAGGCATGGTGGAGCACACCTGTAATCCCAGCTACTCAGGAGGCTGAGGCAGGAGGATTGCTTGAGCCTGGGAGGTAGAGGTTGCAGTGAGCCAAGGTCATGCCATTGCACTCCAGTCTGGGTGACAGTGAGACCCTGTCTCAAAAAATAATAATAATAATAATAAATACATAAAGTAGGCAAAAAGTATCAAGCACCAGAGAATGGGGAGGGGGAAAGAAAGAGATAGAAAGATATGGGGACTGCGGAGGGAGGTTGTACTCCATTTTCCCATAGATTTCCAGAATCGGAATAATGTGAAAAAATACAATAAGATAGAAAAATGAGAGGCCTGAGCAGGGCAGGGAAGAGGGAGCAAAGTAGTGTTATTTGTTAATGGCCTGGGATTTTTGCTGAGAGATTGTTATGTTAGTTAGGCATTGGCTAAATTAATATACTAATCTTTCCACAAGAGGGTGATGGATTGAAATATGCCAGTTACTTGGAAATTCTTTTTAACCTGGTTAATATATAAACATAAAAGGATTACTAATTTTTAAAACTTTGAAATAATTTTCAATATATTTCATAAACTTTCAACAATAGAGTTGTCCCCTAGGATCTTGCCATGCATGGGGATTACAAAACCTGCTTTCTTGGGCTTCATTTCCATTTAGATAGTATTTAATGGCCCTATGAGCTTAGTAGTTTCTATGACACAAGCCCCATCAGCTCTTAATAGGAAATATTGTTTGTTCCCCCAGTGGAACAACTCCTACTCCCACTGGGTAGTTGTTAATTTCCCTGAGGATGCTTAGTCATTTGAATATTTTCTAGGTGTTAAGGAAAGCTCTCAAATACAGGTTTTTAAGGTATTCCAGAAAATATACCCTCCCCTATAACCTATAATCAAACGTTTTAAGAAATCTTAACTTTTATGAACTTATTCAACTATAAAGAATTGAATACATACACACAGATATATACATGCACACATACACATACACACATATATATACCTCTTTCATAAATCATATATGTATATATTTAATTCATATCTGATCATGTCATCTACTTGCTTAAAACACTTTAGTAATAATATCCATGGCTGTTAAGAAGAAACTGAAAATCTTTTTTTCTTTTTCTTTTTCTTTTTTTTGAGACAGAGTCTTACTCATTTCCCAGACTGGAGTGCAGTGGTACAATCTCAGCTCACTCCAGCCTCAGCCTCCCAGGTTCAAGCGATTCTCTTGCTTCAGACTCCTGAGTAGGTGGAATTATATGCATGCGCCACCACACCTGGCTAATTTTTGTATTTTTAATAGAGACAGGGTTTCACCATGTTGGCAGGACTGGTCTCGAACTCCTGACCTCAAGTGATCCACCTGCCTTAGCCTCCCAAGGTGCTGGGGTTACAGGTGTGAGCCACCGCGGCTGGAGGAAACTGAGAATCTTAAACATTGTAGATGTGAGCTGTTCTCAATTCAGCATGCATTGGGATTACTTGGCAGGCTTGTCAAAACACAGAGCTGCTGGACCCCACCCCAGAGATTCCTATTCAGTGATGTTGGCTTGGACTGAGAATGTGCGTTTGAAGCAGGTTCCCAGGTGATACTGATGAAGCTGCTCTGGGGACCACACTTTGAGAACCACTGGTCTACACGACTATATAAACTAGATCCTTTGTTGTCTCTAGCTTCATCTCATGTCACTATTCACTGTGTGTGGTGCTCAGTTGTCTTCCCCTAAATTCTCAAACTCCTAATTCCCTTTCCTGCTCTTGCCATATGTCGGGTCCCTGCTGCTTACCATATAATTTAACTAAGCTAACTCACTGAATCCTTCGTGCTAGACTGGGTTCCCTGGTTACTCACTCTTATCCCTATGCCTCTCCTTTGCAGCACTGAACACAATTGTATCTAAATAATAAGTTGTATGATGCATTGTGAATGTGATACCTCTTCACAATAATATAAGTTCACTGAGGGGAAGGACTATTTTACTGATTACTTTCATAAGTGCTGATGCAGTATCTTTTACATAATTGATACTTAATATTTATTCAGAGAATAAAAGAATGGATGGACACATGAATTGTGCAAAACAATGTATTTAGTTATTCTTACTGTACCCATACTCGACCCAAAGCATATTCTCCTCCTCCCTAGGGGTGTTCTGCTGGTTTTCTCAATGGACACTCAGTGCTGAAAGTGTGCAAGTTCAAGCTCCAGGAGAACTGGCAGTGTCCACATATGTTGTTCAGAGAACTCCTCTTGCTCCGAGCAAAGAGGCACATTGAACAATGAATGTCTGAAACAGCCTTGATAATTCAAGATAAATACCTCTAAAATGATAATACCAGACACTTAGTTCAATTTTTTGTTATTCAAGATTACATAATGCTGTGAAATAAATTCCAATTATTTGAGCATTTTAGCTGGAGGCTACTTTACCTTTAATGGGGTTTTAGAACATTACAATTACAGAGAAATATTTTGGGCTTTCAAAATATTATGCACGAAAACCTTAAAGTTATACATTCTGTGGCTACAGTACCAGAGATTTGTTAACTAAGGCTAGTATTTCTTTCAAGAAAAACAATGTTCCATTTAATTGAAACACAACTGTTAAAGTAATTTAGTTTTTAAATAATCATCACAATGACTGTTGTTCTTGGCTATTGTAAATCTGTGGACATGTGGTTATTTTACCCACATTCTATGTCACTGAGGTAAAAACCTTAGAAGAAGTGAAATTCAAGTTCATATTTCAATGTAGAGAGGGAGGTAAAAAATGTGCGCTATATTGGGAGAGATATTATTTTGTGGAGTGATAGAGCCATTCCATTTTCATCTTCAGAATAATCCAGAAGATTTGAAATAGCAAATAAGAGAATGAAAAAGTTGTTGAATAAAATAACTGCTGTGAGAAGAAAAATCAAAAGAGATGAGAGACAATATCTGAAATGTTGATCGATGGCATCAAAAGGGATGATTGGGAGAAAATATGATGTGATGGTTTATATTTCTTTAGTATGAGTCTTGTGTTGACTTAAATCTTTCTTTCTCTCTTGTTAGGTCTTATTGTCCGGGAAGTGAGCATTGAAATTTCGCGCCAGCAAGTGGAAGAACTCTTTGGACCTGAAGATTACTGGTGCCAGTGTGTGGCCTGGAGCTCAGCGGGTACCACAAAGAGCCGGAAGGCGTACGTGCGCATTGCCTGTGAGTCATTGTTCATAAACACCTTGGGTCTGAGAAGGTGACAAACATAAAAGTTTATACTGTAACTACCCAGCACCAAAGAAACCTGGTCAAAAATCCTGGGCAAAAACTGCTCCCAGATTTCTGCATTTGAGCCACATATTCCTTTTAGGTCACCAGGATTTCATTTTATTTTTGATTTTTTTAATTTTTAATTTTTGTGGGTACATAGTTGGTGTATATATTTACACGGTGCATGAGATGTTTGATACAGGCATGCAATGCATAATAATCACATCATGGGAAATGAGGTATCTCCTCTGGTATTTATTTATCTTTTGTGTTATAAACAATTCAATTATACTCTTTCAGTTATTTAAAAATGTACAATTATTGTTGACCATAGTCACCCTGTTGTGCTATCAAATAGTAGGTCTTATTTATTCCTTCTAACTATTTTTTGTACTCATTAATCATTCGCACCTCCCCACAAAACCATGCTGCTACTCTTCCCGCTTCTGGTGATCATCCTTTTACTCTGTATGTGCATGAGTTCAACTGTTTTCAGTTTATTTTCTGTTTCAAGGAGCTGAGTAGTTTCTTTTTTTTTATGTATGTGAAAGAGGTGTGCTACTTTCCAAATACTTTGATTAAAAAAAAATCTACTGTGACTTAGGCTATAGGAAAATCAAGTATATTCTTCGAATGAATTTATTCTACCACTTTAAGACAAAGTTGAGGTTTTCCAAATGAAAATAGAGATTACCAAGATAAAGCTTCTCTATGTATTTTGGAACCGTTCTAGTATATTGGACCACGAACAGCACTGTTTTCCAAATTGTGTTCATTTCTAGCATATACATGTTCAGGAAGAACTTAAAAGGTACCTTGCAAGAAAAGAGTTCCATAATCAAATAGATGTGAGAAACACATTTTTGACAAAGTTATAGAAGCTTCTTTATTGCAAAACCTCTCAAGATGATTTAATATGCTAATGTGCATATGATCACCACTAGGAGAAGGAGCCTGCGGCTTCGCAGAGCCCTTTCGTCAGTAAATATTCTCGCTGTCTTGGGCAACACGGATGCCATGTAATCCATCTCAAGCTTTTATATTGAGAAATTTTCTCATATATGAGAAAGCTCTGAAATCCATGTTTTCTTTTCTGAACCTTTACATCTCTGCATTTTACCAATTTTATTTTGTGTTGGATACCAATATCACTTACCTCTAAGTCCCATCAATCCTAGTTCTAAAGCCTCCCCCAATTCTATACTTGTCTCTGCCTCCCTTTCTTTTTCATCTAGCTCTGGACCACTGCAGATCTTCCCGTTAGTCTCCATGGTGCAAGCCTTTCCTCTATTCCAGCCCTTCCTCCATGTTACCACAAACACAGTCTTTCTAAAACTCAGGTTTCCTCTTGATAAATTGTGGCTCTGTGCCCCACCAAAAATCTCACCTTGAATTGTAAAAATCCTCATGTGTTGAGGTAGTACAGTGGTGGCAGGTAATTGAATCATGAGGGTGGGTTTTTCCTGTGCTGTTCTCATGATAGTGAATGAGTCTTAGGAGATGTGATGGTTTTATAAAGGGGAATTCCCCTGTACATGCCCTCTTGCTTGCCACCATGTAAGATGTTCCTTTGCTCTTTTTTCACCTTCTACCATGATTATGAGACCTCCCCAGCCATGTGGAACTGTGAGTCCATTAAACCTCTTTCCTTTATAAATTACCCAGTCTGGGGTATGTCTTCATTAGCAGCATGAGAACAGATGAATACACCTCTCATCTCGTCGCCTCTATTCCTGCTTCAAATTTTATAGTGACAAGTGAGATAGTCAAAATGCCTTACAATGGTATATACCATTGAATTAGTTCTTTAGGGCTCCTATAACAAAATACCATGGATTGGATTGGATGGCTTAAAGAATAGAAATTTACTTTCTACAGTTCTGAAGGCTGGAAGTGTGCTCTCAAGGTGTCAGCAGGTTTGGTTTCTCCGGAGGCTGCTCTTCTTGGCTTGCTGGTGGCCTCTTTCTCACTGTGTCTTCACACGGTCTTTCCTCTGTGTGTGTGTATCCCTGGCATCTATTTGTGTGTCTGAATTTCCCTTCTTATAAGGACCCCAGTCAGATTTGATTAGGCCCACACCAACAGTATCATTTTAAAATAATCACCTCTTTAAAAGCCTTATAACCCAATATAATCACATTCTCATGTACTGAAGGTTAGGGCTTAGCATCAGAATTTGGGGGAGTGGAATGAAGTTCAGCCAATAACAACCACACTTTGTGGTTTACATATCCAACCCATGTTTCTAACTCTGACAAGTAAGAATTTCTGCATTGTAGTCACATTAGATTAAAAATACTTTGATTTCCATGGCTTTCAACTATTCTTCATGCTGAAGCATTGCACCCTTACCTTACTACCTTTCACAACATATATATGTAATTGTGTGTATATATATGTTATGAAAGGTAGTAAGGTAAGGGTGTGTGTATATTTGTGTGGGTGTATGTTTATCTGTATATATATATATATACACATATATATACATATGTAGACATGTACATACATATATTTATATATATACACATATATATACATACACACAAATACAAAATGAAGATTTACTCTGTTCTTGGGACAATTGTGGATGTAGGGGCTGGTACTAGAAACAAAACATGTAACCATCCTTGCCCTCATGCAGCTCATGTTGTGGTGAGGAAAGGCAAACTTGAAATAAAATGAATGATCATCAGGTCTAGAGCAGATGGCAAGTGCCATGAAGAAAAAATAAAGCAGGAAAAGAGAATTTGTAGGGTTGGGCAAGAGTGGTCAAGAAGGTTTGCTGAGGAAGTTGACAATTGCATAGACCTGAACGAGGGGCAAGAGGGAATCAGGCAGAGGGGACTTGTGGCTGGTACAAAGACCCTGAGGCAGGAGTGTGCTGGAGGGTCCCAAAGACAGCAGTGAATCCAGAGTGGCTAGAAGAGTGAGGGAGTAAGAGGACATCCCAGATGCAGCGAGAAAGGTAAGGCCTGGGCTACAGACAGGAGGGGGAGTGGAGATGGCATGGGGTTCTGTAGGTGTTGAAATATCTTTGGTTTTGTTTGTTTGTTTTTTGAGATGGGGTCTCATTCTGTCACCAGGCTAGAGTACAGTGGCACAATCACAGCTCATTGCAGCCTCGATGTCCCAGACTCAGGTGATTCTCTCATCCCAGCCTCCCAGGTAGCTGGGACTACAGGCATGTACCACCATGCCCAGCTACATTTTTGTATTTTTTGTAAACATGTAGTTTCACCGTGTCACCCAGGCTGATCTCAAAATCCTGGGCACAAGCGATTTCGCCCACTTCAGCATCCCGAAGAATTGGGATTTCAGGCATGAGCTACTGCTCCTGGCCCATATCTGGTTTTGAGGATAAGTTGGGAATACTTTGGAATCCTTGCAGCAGAGGAACTCATGACCTGACTTCCATTAGCAGAGTCATCTGGCTGCTGTGTTGAGATGGGCAAGGAGAGAAGCAGGAAGACCAGTGATCAGGCTGCAGCTGTGAGAGGTGTTAGGCTAGTGTTGAATGAAGCAGTGGAGATGGTGAGGCCAGGATTTCCTATATATTTAAAAGTAGAGATAACATCTTTGTTGAGACCTTGGATATGTGATGTGAGAGAAAGAGGGGAATGGATGACTTGAAAGGGCTAAGCCTTTTCAAGGATTTCTTTTAAATGTCCTTAGCGAAGCCTTTCCTGCCTCACAGGAGGAGGAGGCTGGGCATTCCTTTCTCAATACTCGGAGCAGTTTGTCTGTACTCCTAATACAGGACTTGTCTCACTTGAATTATATTCACTTGTAAAATCTGTGTTTCATGCCAGTGAGTTCCATGAGGTCAAGAATTCTATTGTACTTAACTTTATATTTCTCATGCTTAGTACCAATGCTTAGAATATCACAGATGTTTAATAATTTTTTGAATTAAAACTGTTACAAAAAAATTCCCAGTGAAGATTATTAAAATGTTCGACATTAATCTTTCCTCTCTGAGAATGTCTAAAAAGATTTTCTCTTCATCTTAAGTGGATTCTCCATGGAATTCTGTGGGATGGAGCCATACGTGCCACCAGTGTATTGAGGGGTGTCCTTCGGAACAGTATGCTAAGGATACTAGGATATCAGGTGGAGGAATAAAGGCAATAGGTTGGGCAGAGAAAGAAATTGAGCTGCAGGGCAAACACAACACATGATGATTCCACAGGGATCTCTGAAGCTCACATGGCCCTTCGGAGTTATGGCACCCTGAGGCAGAGGGAGTGAGCAGACCCCTATATTCCCCCACATAGACTGGTCAGTGCATGCAGACACTCCTTTACTCCCTACCCCACCAGCATGTGTAACAGGGGCCAAGTCAGCTCTGTACCACTGAGGGTGATTACAGGAGAGAGAAGCTGAGACTTTCACCATCACTTCCAACAGGTGCGACCAGGCCTGAAAGGGTCTCCTGGTAGCATATCACAACATCCACTGCCACAAATCCTGAAGAATTGATTGTATTGATTATAAAGAAAGATACTGTTAATCATGTTTAAATAGAAATGGAAAAACAAGGGTTTCAGTCAAACATTTAATTTAACTCAAAATCAGTTTCAAATTGTAAACAAAGGAGGCACAAGGTTAGAAAGCTATTCTTTTATCTTTCACTTCTATGTATTCATTAATATCAAGCACAATAACTACTTAGAATTGCCAGTCTACATTCCACACCACACTGACTTGCTAAAGCCGAACTTCAAGGGCTGCATAGTTTCAAATAATGAATTTTTGGTTAAAAAGCTCTCAATTTTCATTAATTTGAAGAGAATATTGTTGTGCCAGTTTTTTATATATATAATTATACATGTATGAGTAGATATATTCCTTTTCAGCACACAGACATTAAATACATAAAAATTTAAAATCCTTTTCTTTGCAGTATATTCTATAAACTTTGCTATTTGGCTTTTAAATCTAGTTTGACA